CTGGTAACGTCTAGCATGTTTGTTGGAAGGCAAATTAGTGTGCTATTTTTTTGCTAAGCAAGGAGCTCCTAATTAAACCAGATCCAGTTTCTTCTTCTTCTTCTTTTTTTTTTTTTTTTTTTTTTTTTTTTGGATTCTTCCCCCTTTACAAACCACTCTATTGAGAAGTTGTTTTCTTTCAATATGACCCGAAAAATATGTCTCCAATATTCTCCACATAACCATATGCATGCTTAACCTTTTCAGCCGCAATATACAAGTGCACACAAAAAAAAATACCGTATTTACTCTCTTTTTTAAGGGAATACCGTATTTACTTAATTATGTCAATCAAGATGGTCACTTCTATTGATATAATTTCATAAATATAATAAAAATATAAAAATATAAAAATTAAATTATACTTTTAATTTATATAATAATTTAATTTGCAATTTTGATCTTCAATTTAATAATACTTAGATATTACATTTATCTTTTATTCATTTTATTTACTTTATTAGAGACACTTCAACTTGCGTGGATGTTCCACCTTATTAAAAATAAAAATAAATGACAAAGGTATCACATAATTAAGAGTGTTCACAATTAAAAAAAATGATAAAATAAAAATAAAATAAAACGCACACTAGTTAATTATTCATATTCATTTAAACAATATATACTTTTGCTTTAGATTGAAATTTTAAAATTCATATTTAATATATATTTGTGTGTGATATATTTTTTTTAATATAAATTTACATAATAAAAATATTTTAACAATAAAATAAAAGCCAATTAATCTAAACGAATTTATATTGAATTGAATTGAATTAAATTTATTTAATATACTAAGATAATAAAATAAAGTTGTAGAATTAAAGTATTGAACTAGTTAATTATTTTTGAAATGGCTTGAATTCAATCTAGAGTCACCCTTTACAATATATTTCTTCTTTTCTCTTGTCACTAGAAAAGAAAATACGTTGATGAAAGGTTACTATTTTTCTCTAAGAAGGAGATGAAAGGTTGTCACCTTTTATAGTGGCTGACCAAATAATGTATCCCGTAATTTGACTGTTCTAACCTTGGAAATAATTAATTAAAAAGTGAGAAGCAAAGCGAAATGATTTTGGAGTTTTTATATGAAAAAGGCAAGTGTATTGGGGGAATAACGAATTTCCAATTTTAGAAACCTTAATGAATATGAAAGAGGTGGAAACATAGTTTAGTACAAGTTGCGAGTGCATCACATGTCATGTACCATATTTAATTCTTTCCTCACTCCTTCCATTTCATGCACTTGCGGACTTACAATACTTCTCAATTCCTCTCGTTATATATTAAAAAATAAAAACTTAACAAGTCCCTTAAAATGTTAATTAATTTTTTAATGATATCAATACTGATATAATTATTTATTTATTTACTTATTTATCATAAAAATCAATAATATTATAATGAATATTAATTTGTGATTATATAACTGGTAAAACTATTTTATATTATCAATATTTAACAATTAAATTTATAAAATATTATAATTATATACATTAACTTTTTAGTTTTAACTATATAGTTGTCTCTTGTAAAATAATTTTATTCTTTAAGTGTGTAATAAAGAGCTTAATACATAAATATATGTGTATAAGAAAAAATCTATCGTATGAATCTTAATATTATAAGAGAATAGTTTTTCACTTTCAACCCAAAAACGTCTAATTCAACTAACAAATTAGGATTTAGGATTTAAGGTTTAATTGATTTTTCAACTTTTTAATAAATTGTCATTTATTTTTGTCTAATAGTAGTATAATGATCAAAGCGTGTGTTATTAATACACATAGAAATATCACACACACGCAACATATTAATATTGGTAGTTAATTTTTTTAATAGCTTTGTTAACATTAGTTATATCCATATACTCTATTTCTTTCTTAATATAAAAAAGTTTATTGTTACAATTAATCCGTTTCTATGTACTTTCTTAAAAGCAAAATATTTTTACGATTTATTTGAGTATATATTTTGTTGTTAACTTAAATTAAATAATTTTCGGTGGCAATATTCAATCAAATTTAGTATTTAATTAAAATATTAAATGAAAAATATAACAAAAAAAATATCATCATAATTACTGTTCTTTCGTTATCATATCACTATGAGCTTTGCTATGGAGTTGCTTTTCTTATAATTACGTTGACGCACCAATAATGGATAGGGGCCAACATCATATTATAATAAGAATTTTCATTTCCAACGATAATACGTGTCCATTTACCAATTTTCTTGATAACTAATTTTTGTTAAAAAATTTAATTTATTATTTTTAATAAATATTTCCTTTCAGTTATATATGTTATTTTATTTATAAGACTTGATTTAAAATTTTCATTATAACAAAATTTATTATTAGCGATAATATATTAAAATATATACTTTTAATTAAAATATATTTATGGATCACTGTTATTTATTCATGTGTGCACTCCCAGTTAAGGCAATTTGAGCTGAGTACATGCATGATGAACTCAAATTGGCAAAGTAGTCCCATCAACTTCACATTAAAACCAAACACAATTGATAGGTGGAACTCATATCATATCCCTTAAAATTTTGGAACACATTAAAGAATAATACGTAGGTTTATTAAATATTATGCACAATTATAAGAGCATATCAATAAATATTATTATGTAAAATTATCTCTTAAAATCAAGTAATACTGCACAATATTTATATATAAGGCATCGGGTATTACAAAAAATTTAATCTTATTCTTAATTTAGACTCTCTTCTAACTTAAGAGTTCTTGCTGTTACAAATTTAGAACAGTGTTACCTTCATTATTGGACTTGCAAATTTTAGTAAAAATAATTAAAATATATCATTTTAAATTTTAAATAATATATTAAAATAATAAATAAAATAATTACATGTTTATACTTATATATACGCGCCAAAAAATATATATATATATATATATGTATAATATATAATTTATTTAATAATACATTTGTAATACAAATGTATTCACTTTAAAATAGATATGTAAGATTAACCTTTCCGATATAAAAAATTTGGGATAAAATTCGCAAGATTTGCTTTTTAAAATGAATAATTAAGGATAAAGCAAGTAATTTAAGTTGTTGATGATAAGACTCTTCATGACTAACTTTAGTCATATTATATCCTCGTAAAAAAAGAAGTAATATTAGAGATATCTAGTTAAAAAATTTGTAGGCATATTAATTAATTTTTGATTCGAGGAAAAGCTTTCTTATACCATATGCAATCACACTCACAGTCCTACCTTAAACCAGTAATGCCTCCCTCAACTTGCTTTTAAAATATGCAATATAAAATAACGATTTCCATTCCATTTTGGAAAAGCAGACGAAATACTTAAAATAAAATAAAAAATTAAAAGGCATATCGATAAAAAATTATAATTATATATCCACTTTTTAATATTCCATCCTTTTTTATCTTTATATTTTCGATTTCTATCATATCACTTATTATTATTATTATTATTATTATTATTATTATTGTATTATGACACTTTCTATTTTCTCTCCATCTTTTTTCTATTCACCTAATCAACCCCAAATAATTAGATTTTGTAAGAGTAAATTACATTAAAAGTGTGTTTGGTAAAAATGATTTTTTTTTCATGTATTATAAATCTCAAAATTAATCATTTCTAAAAATGATTAAAATGTGTTTGACTGGTCAAAAATATTTATATATATTATTTAGAAATCAAATATTTTTATTGTACTAAATATACAAATTAACGTAATAAAACTTTTCTTTTAATTTAAAAATATTATATTCTCATATCTCTCATAAAAAACTAATATTCTCAATCTTATATTTTTTGTTTAAATAAAAATATATCTTGTAGCAAACCTCCTAACACTTGCCAAGTTCTGTAATATTGCATGTAATTTTTTTTTAATATTTATTATAGCAACACCCTTATACAAAATAGTATACAATATTTTTCAAACAATTAAGAGAAATAAATATAATATCTAAGAGAGGTTAGTGGTGTATTTTTAAAAAAACAATTAAGATGATGTATTATTATATTGTAACCGTAAGATAAAACAGAGGGTTTATCTATAATTTATGAGAATCAGTATAGTTTACACCTTGTGTAATTTTTCTCTCAGATACTTGAATATTTATTTAGTTGTTGTACTCATCAATAATTATATATAAATTCTGCTATGTAAGCCAAAGACAAAATTATTATGACTCTACCAATATTAAAATAGATAATATTTCAAATATAATAATTTTAATGATGTTAACAAATTTAAGATTAAAATATTAGTTTAAAAAAAAGAATTTAAGTTACTTTTACCCAGTTGAAAGACTTATTTTAATGTATTAAAGAAAAGTCACATCACTTAAAAGTTGAAATCGATTATAATTTATAAATCCTATTCTCCCTCAACTTGTGAAAACAAAAGGGACTTGAAATCCGAAGGTTTATTATTTGGCTGAACGATTTACCGTGGCTGTTAATTGCGCGGATAGAATTGTGAATAATGAAAAGCAAAGAGAGTGAAGAGCCATTTTGACGCTTTTGGCCAAACCTAAAAACAGGAAAAGTAAGCGCCCTCGGTTTTGGAAACCCTACGTGTCCTTTCCTCATACGTCACACTTACAGGGTCCCCACGATTCCTGGACTCCTAGGATTCACCTTCTCCACTCTCACGCTTCTCATATTTCCCCTACTCGCTCTCTCCCTCCGACACGTGTCCCTTGCAATCAAGTTTAGCCCACTCCCTCTCCTCGCGGGTTCTCCTACAGTGCATATCATGCCATTTCCCGACACAGCGGGCGAGTACGCTTGGCTTGGTGCACTCGCTCGAGTGAGCCACTCATCTCACAACAAAACCGGTTTTGGAGCAAAAACCAGAAATGGATAGTGGTTGTGACCTTTGTCCAAATAAAACCACTCTGGCTTTCCATATAAAGCATAATATTGCATCACATAACATAACTCTCCTAGGATTAGGATTAGGAACATTCATCTACGGAAAATCTTCTCCTTCTCTCCCCTGCTTCTCTTTCTCCTCACTGCTCACTCCTATAATTTTCAAGTAAGTTACTTTCTTTGACTTTTATTAGGGCTTTTATTTCTCACAATTTTATTTTTGTCCCTCTTCCCTGATTGCTTTTCAACCATTAATTTCTTCACTTTTTTAAAATATTTATTCTAATTAACGCTATTAGTGTTCGATAACTCTAGTTCCCCACGATCTTAGTAGAGTTTGTTCACTGATCTAGCAGGTCAAAAGAGGTATTTGTGAAGAACCCTAATACTTTGACCAAAGATGGGGAGAGGGAAGATTGCGATTCGAAGGATCGACAACTCCACTAGCAGGCAAGTAACTTTCTCAAAGAGAAGAAATGGGTTGCTGAAGAAAGCTAGAGAATTATCGATTCTATGTGATGCTGAAGTTGGATTGATGGTCTTCTCCAGCACTGGCAAGCTTTATGACTATGCAAGCACAAGGTAATTCATTAAGACCACTTCTTTTACGCTTTAAATGATGGAAATCTATAATTTTTGGTGCAATATTATTGTGTTATTTTTTTTTTTTCTGCTAATAAGATGAAACATCTTCTTTGAGGTGAATAAAATAATTATATATATACTTAGATACACGTTGATTGTGTTTCTCGTGGTCGGCGTCGTGCTGTGCTGTACGAAAACATTTTATATATATATATAATAATATATCAACTTGTATTTAGGAATATATCTGTGACTTTAATTATGTTTGTCTAGCTATAACTTTCTGCCTCGTTAAAATGATATTGCTTAGGTTGTTGATATATAATATAAGAAATATGCATGCGCGTTTGCATGGTACGGAGTTAATCTTCTTGACTATTATCCTGATATGCACTTTAGGGAAACAAAACTAGAAAACAATAGCAGAATAACTTCTGAAAAATGATCCTCTCAATCTTTCTTGGCCTTCTTTTTGTCTCCATTGTTTTGAGTTCTTAATTGGCTCCAAGTACAGTGCAGTACAATTAGTATTCCTAAAAAACTTATGAAAAGAACACAAACATAACCCTCCACTTTCATTCTGTTAATTTATATAAGAACGCTTACTATATATGTAGGCATTTTAAACTGGTAAAGCCTCGTATAAGATAAATTTTTTTACAGATTAATTAAGGCCTTGAAGTATATATAAATGGATAAAATTTGGGAATCTATAATTTACATATACTTGATCACCATGGATATGGGAATTCATATAACTTTAGCTTTGAATTTCTCGAAGAGATGATTGTGTTTGTTATGAATGAAATCTATAAAATGCTCTCGTAGAATTACTTTTAACATAAATTACTGAAAGAAGTGTTCTGGATAAGTGAGCTGCATTATATTACAATTCAAGCACGCATGCGATGATTGTTCCGCATGCGATATATATATAAATAAAAGGTTCAAAGCAAAGACACAACATAAGGAATTAAGGAGGGATGAAACAAAGAGATTCAGGTATAATATAATAATTTTGTAGTACTCAATTATAATACGCGAATGACCTCTTGTGATAAAGTGCTTTAAACCCATTAGACTACGGCTTCATGTTATATCTCGTTTTATCAGTTTATGTTACCATCCAAACCAATGTGATTTTCTTAAGTTGGAGTATCATCACCACCGGTTTAATACTTTACATATGAAGTTTTTCTCTCACATTCACTCGTATATAGTTATGGAAAAATAGATTATACACCGATAGTATAAAGGATTTACATTGTCATTTAATTGCAAATTATTATGTATAATAAATTTGATAATTTTTACAATAATTATATTAAAAATTATATCAACAATAATTTGTTTTATATTCACATTACATAACAATTAAACTTGACAGTTGTATTATATATATGAAATACTTTTTATACATAAAGTTTAACTTTTATTATGTACTATTAATTAATTAAATATAACTTTTAATTTAACTATTATGGAATTAAAAATCTTATTAAACATATCGATCTATAATTAGATGATAATGAAAGTAAAAAATGGTTGCATCATCAATATATTTAAATTATACTTTTAGTGCTTATATATGTTATAAATCAATGATGCAAACCTAATATTATATCCAATTGACTAATAATCCTAATTGTTTCAGTACCTGATTTCAAAATGTGTTGGGGAAAGTCGCGCAACGGTCTTTGGTAGGGGTGGTGGGCACGGAATGGATCGAAGTCGATTCAAAATATATTTTGATTTAATTTGATTAATTTTAATTGAATTGGTTCAAAAAAAAATTATCTTCAATTTAAACAAATCTAATCTAATTATATTCAGTTTGGATTAGGTTTATTGAATTTATCCGTAAATTAAAAATTAAAAAATTAAAGAACAATAAAAAATTTATAAAATATATTTTCATGTCCTCAACTGATAAAATATTTACTATTATAAATTTATTTGTCAATATTATAATGCAATATACAAATCTATCATATATTATCCTCAATGTTATAAATTCAACAAAATATCTCAAATATTACAACTAATACCACAAAATCCTAATATAATCGGTACTTAACTTTTACAAATGAGAGACATTCATTATATCACAAACAAAAAACTGGGATTTCATTTTTGTTCTTTGATACTTAATGGACCTACCAATTTCATATAACAACAAAAAAGAGGTTGAATAGGCCACTTATCTCTTATTTGTCTTTTACTAGTACCCCTTATTTGATAACCCAACATAGATCTAATAAATTAATAACAACAACAATACTAATAACAACAACAATAATAATAAATTAATCAAATAGATCATTTTGATTCAGTTCCTAGAAAACAAAATCCAATATTTAAACTAAACTAATTGAATTTTCAAATTTGAATTCGAACCGATTTGATATGATAGTCTAAATCAATTCATTTTTTTTGTTTAGATATTGGATTCATCGGAACATCAGATTGGATCAAGCTTGTGATGAACCCTAGTCTTAGGACCCTCACTCTACAATTATAATCACTAAAGTGATCAAACCCAATTTACCTTAACTGGATCACTATAGCTTGAATTTAAAATATTTTTTTTGGTAACCATGGTATGATACAAAGTATCTACTAGCAGAAGAAATGATTAATTTTTATTTGAGATTGCGAACACATATAAGGTAAATATTCCCTCTCCAAACATAATCTATTTGATACCCAAGGTCAGGATTCAACCCTGGACAACATGGTTAAGAGACATAAGTTGTTATCCCTTATATCAACTAGTATTGGTGCTCATTTAATGGATAGGAGTACCCATGTACTCCACCTCCAAAAAACATTCGATTATCCGTTGTTCTTTAGGAATTTTTTGTACCTACAAACGAGGGTGCACTATGTGAGGTGGTAATGACTCCAACTAGTGGTAAAGGAGGTCATACAACAATAAGAAGAAACAATAGTTTGTGGTGGTAGTCATCTTTGTAGAGGCACCGGTACTCAAGTTAATGTATATAAGAGATGAATAGGTATAAAAATATACTTGGGGCTTGTTTGAAAAAAAATTCTATATAAGTACCCTTAGGAGAGAAAAATAGGAAAGAAAAATAAATTGTTTCTTCATAAACTAATTTGTAGAATCTCCCTCATATAGCTTCTCCAAAAAATTGTAAATATGTTATAAGCTAATTTTAACTTATGAAAAAATTTATTTCATTTTTGCTTCATATTTTTTTACCATAAGTGCTTTAAAAAAAATTATATAGACAAGCACTTGAAGACACCAAACACCTTACATACAGTGGTAGAAATGCGGGAAAAGTTTTTAAGTGGTTACTACGAGTAACATGATAATAAGAATCAAGCAAAGTAGGTACATATCAATAAAATGAGGTCATGTCAATTATGAATGATAAACAATATAAGACTATTTAGGGTGAGGTCGTGTCAAAATATGAATGATAGGCAATATAAGGCTAGTTGGGGTGTTCACAAAACACCTTATATACAGTGGTAGAAATGCGAGAAAAGTTTTTAAGTGGTTACTATGAGCGACATGATAATAAGAATCAATCAAAGTAGGTATATATCAATAAAATGAGGTTGTGACAATTATGAATCCTAAACAATATAAGACTAGTTAGGGTGAGGTTGTGTCAAAATATGAATGATAGACAATATAAGGCTAGCTGGGGTGTTCACAAAATCATGGGTATACATTTCCATGAACTCAAACAAATGCAACCTAGTTCAAATACTATGATTCATTTTTTTTTTTTTGGATTGTTTAGATAGAACCTAACTCAACCAATTTTATATTTTGGGTTAGATGTTGAACTTTAGTATTGAACTTGTTGAAAAATGCAATCAAAGTCCCACATCATGTAAAAAGGAGGAAAACCACGGGTTTATAAAGTATACACATGTTTCATTAGTTTGAGGTGTTTTGAGAGATAACTAAAAGTAAAATCATATGGACTTGGGCTAAAAGTGGATAATATTATACCAATTGGACATGTGTGTGGGACACATACCTTGGTGCACCTAAACAAGTGGCATCATTTGTGGGGATGTATGAATCTATCTGCACAAGAAGTGATGATAGGGGATGGAGAATCGGCTCAGCTTGAATAAGTATGATAGATTTGGTGGGATCACTATTGAATACTTGTGGTTTATCTGTTGAAGGGGAGGTTAATCGTGATCCTAGTACAATCAAAGTCTCACATCATGTGAAAAGGAAGAGAACCATGAGGTCTTTTGAGAGATAAAACAAAACCATGAGGACTTAGATTCAAAGTGGATAATATCATATCAATATGAACATCTGTGTGGGACACCCACCTTGGTGCACCTTAACAAGTGACGTTGTTTGTGAATCTTGGTGCACAAGAAAAAGCAGTGATAAGAGATGGAGAATTGGCTAAACTTGAACAAGTATAATAGGTTTGGTGGCTTCTAACAATGGGTCCATATATGGAAGTCGAGGTCTTCCTAGTAACATGGAAGTTAGGAGCGTGTCATATTGCCATCAATTAACGGTGGAAAAGTGAGGGGTCACTATTGAATACTTATGCTCTATCTATTGAATGGGTGAAGCTTAAAAATTTTTATTGAGAGGAGAGTTGTTAGAAAAAAAAATAATTCAATTTTTCAATTTCAAATCTCTAAGATATTGTTTATATTAAAAAATATATATTTTTTATTTAAAATATTATTTAAAATCGAAATATATTGCATTTATTTTAGAGATTTATTTCCTTTTTAAGATTAGGATGAGACGTTAATAAATAAAGACTCTTGAGTTGATAAGAAACATTGATCAGTCGAAGAAGTCACCATCCTAAATGAGAAAATGAATCATATGATGTAAGATTTATACTAAGTTTACTTTGCTATAAAATTTGTGTCGAGTGCTTCCAAGTTTCTTCTGTCATAAAACATATGTTAAGGGTTTTTAAGTTTTGTCAATCATAAAATTTGTGAGGAGAATTTTTAAATAGAAATAA